CCAGGAGGTGGGGACTCGGTGTCCCCAGGGCACAGGGACCAGGAGGGAAGGTGCAGACCGGCAATCAGAACAAGTGGCTCCCCCTGAGCATCTGCCTTTGCTGCCAGGTGCCCCCACGCTGGTCAGACCCCAGGGGGTTGCTCAGTCTGGCTGCCCTTGTGGCTATTCCCTCCTGGCCCCAGCCCTCTCCTCGGCACCAGCCAGGCCCACGGGGTCCCTGCTGCTCCTGGGGTACCATGGATACCCAGGGCAGGCCTGGAGTATCCCTGGCCTGCGGAAGTGTGGCTGCTTCCTCCCCTCCCTCCTTTGCATCCGGAGCTGGTGAAGCACCCCCCCGGGTCATCCTCCCACTCGCTTCCGCCTGCCTGGATGGCTCCATCCATCCATCCATCTGTCTGTCTGTCTGTCCCACAGGGTTCGGCTCACCCATGAGCTCACCAGCCCTCCCCGGTGTGAGCAGGGATGGGGACCCCAGGGGGAGGCACTCCGATTCCCCAGCTCTGGGGGTCCCGAGGCATCACAGCCCGGTCTCAGCCCCACTGCAAGGAAGGTAATGGGTGACACCCCTGCTGCCAGAGCCGTCCTGCCTGCTGGGTGCTGCCTGGGTGCCTGGCGAGGGCTGGCAGCGGCCGTCCAGAGTGCCCTGCTGAGATGCCCTGGCTGTGGGCACCTCCCTCACCCTGCCCCACGCTGCTGGGCCAGCTCCCCCCCACCTGCCCCACGCCGTGGGTTGGGGAGCACTCAGCACGGGCATAGCAGGTTGCAGGTGCCCTTCTCCCTCCCGAAACTCACAGCCACCATGCCAGGACCCACCACCCTGCAAAGTACCTTGCAGGTGGGTGCAGCCAGTGAGAGGCACAACCAGGGTGCGCTCCCACCCCGGGAGACGGGGCGAGGGGGACAGAGTAGTGGGGCCACAATAGGCTCCAAGTGTGAGGCACAAGGGTGGCAGTGGGCACCCGAGAGGCTGCTAGGGCGAGCTCTGCCACCTCCCATCCGTAGGGATGGAGATGTACGAATGGATGCCCACAGGAACACGCCGGGGCCCCCCACTCAGCTTGAGCTTCGGCAGGTCAGCGAGCAGGTTGTCGCGCTCGACCTCGACACGAGCCCGCTGGTTGGTGAGCAGGTCCACCTGGCGCCGGAGCTCCCGTAGTTCCTCCTCGTACATCTCGGCCACACGGGTGGGCTCCTTGCCCCGCAGGCGGTTCACCTCGGCCACCATGAGGGCATTCTGCTGCTCCAAGAAGCGTACCTTCTCGATGTAGTTGGCGAAGCGGTCATTGAGCTCCTGCAGCTCCACCTTCTCGTTGGTGCGGGTCTGGAGGAACTCCTGGTTCATGGCATCGGCCAGGCTGAAGTCCAGCAGCTCGCCGGCACCTTGGTAGGCACTTTGGTAG